AGATTTTACCCTAATAATAATTATAATTATCATAGTTATCCAAGATTTAATAATCCTAATAATAATTAACAATTTTCAAAACCTATATTTCCACGACAACCAATACATGTTCAACCAATTCCAGAAATAAATAAAAAATATTTCACCAATCGTCAAGTTTTTGGGGAAAATCTAAGACCTCAAAATGTTTTTAAACCCAATCAAATTAATTCAAATCAATTACCCAAACCAGAACCTATGTCAACCACCTCTCGAAACCCATCACTTATGAAAAAAGTAAATTATAATCAAAGACAAAACTATTTTCAAAATAATCAAAAACCAAATTTTTCATTTGAAGAATTAAATAATACACAAACAAATTTGAATAAAAGTTTTGATGATACTGTTTATCAAAACTATGCTTTAGAAAATGAATGTGAAATATACGCGGATGAACCGTACGAAAATTATAATAATAATCAACAATATAATTATAAAAATGAACCAGAAACTGAAACCCAACAAGATGGAAATTTTCGGAAAGCCAGCCTTTCAGAAACAATTACATAATAGAAATGAATAATTATAATATAAATAATCCACTACCATATGTAGAAATTAAAAACCCTCCAATCAAACTTCTTATTGACACTGGAAGTTCCAAATCAATAATTAAACCATTCATTATTGAACAATATTTTCCTGACACAATTTATCACGCAAATATAACATTGAAAACATCATTGGGGAGTAAACAGATCCGATTTCAGTCAGATATCCCAGCATTCGCAGAATTTAATTGCCAGTACTTGATTAATTTCATTGTATATGATTTTCATGACTTTTTTGATGGTGTTATTGGACTTACTGACCTAGTTAACATGAACTTAAATATAGATTTAATAAACAAGAAATTAATAGGCCCGTATGTTGAAATTCCTTTTAAATATAGACAACCAAATAATATAAATTTTTCGTTTACCGTTAATGGTAAAGAATCTCTTTTAAAAAAATTATCTGTTAGTATACAGGATGGAGACATAATTATTGAAGAAACATATTTTGGAAATATTTATTTACCTCGAATGATAACAACCGCAAAAAACGGATTTGCTTTAATTGAAGCTCAAAATAATACAGATAAAAGTATTTCTATTAAATTAAATAATCCCATTTTAGCTAAACAATTCCAAAATTCTGAGCATGAACTATACAAATCTGAATGTTTTAAAAATAAATTTGAAAAAACTAAAAAATCGAAAAGTAAAGAAAGTAAAGCAAATATTTCAAATTAAATAGAACGAGTCATATGAACTCTAAAGAAAAAATTAAGGTAACGAATTCCGTAGAAGATATTTATCAAGAAACAAATCTATATAATCTTTTTGAATTGGAAAATACTACTAATAATAATAATAATAATTTGCAAATTGACACTAATTCAAAAAACAATTTAACAAACGATGTATCATCTCAAAATATAATAGATGAACTTGATGGGAAACTTTCTAAAACAAATTCATATGATATTGCATAATAATATTAAAATAAATACAGCAAATATTTGTAATAAAAAAAATAATACATTTTTATCATCAAATAGTATTAGAACCAAAATGAAAAATCCTGGAACCTACAAATGTTATCGAAAGAGAATAAAATTTAAAAACTTTACAAACTCGGATAGGAAAAGAGTAAGATTTAAAAACTGAACATTAATAATTTAGTTTTAATAGAAATAAACATAATTTTAATTAATTCATATTTCAGAACGATGTTTAAACTCTTATAAAAATCAAGTTTATATTACAATAGGAGAATCAATAAATAATCAAGTAAGAATAGAAAAGATTTTTGAAAACTCTAGAATATACGTAACCTTATCCAAAATTAATTTAGAAGAACAAATTATTAACTTTGTTAAAAATTATATTGATCCAAAAGTAACATATGCCTTATATTTTAAAAATCAAAATTTACCTGAAACATTTATAACTACAGTGCAAAATAATTTTAAACATTCTGCATTTAAATTTATACATTGTACAAAATTCTTGACAGACATTTTAACAACTGATGAACAAAAAACTAAAATTGAATATTACCATATTTATAAATCGGGACATAGAGGCATTAATGAAGTAAATACAGCCTTGAGTTCTAGATATTATTGGCCAAAAATGATGGAAGATATTAAATATTATATAAATAATTGTGAAACTTGTCAGAAAAATAAATATGATAGAATTCCTCCGATAGTAAAATTTAATTTAACGCCTACAGCCACAAAACCATTTGAACATATACATATTGACGTATTTAAAATTTCTAATCAATCATATTTAACTATTATTGATTCATTTTCAAGATATGGTCAGGCATATCCTATGAAAAGTATAACAGGAATAAATGTAGTAGATAATTTATTAAATTTTGTAACCCATCATGGATTACCTCAAAAAATTACAACAGATAGTGGCACTGAATTCAAAAATTATGATTTAGAAGATTTTTGTAAATTACATCATATTGAACTTCATTATACTACTGCTAAAAATAGCAATTCAAATTCACCTGTAGAACGTTTTCATTCAAGTTTAATTGAACATTTTAGATGTCTCAAAGAAGAAAATAATGATCTAACCTCTGATCAATTAATAAAACATGCTATATTAGCCTATAATAATTCCGTACATTCCGTAACAAAATTCACTCCTTATCAAATAATTAAAGGACATATTAATAATGAAGATCCTTTTGATTTAAATGATCACCTTATAATTTCAAATTACGTACAAAATCATAAACAAATTAGTAAAAAATTATATGAAGACATAAAAGATAAAAACGAAACAATTAAACAAAAAGTAATAGAAAATAGAAATGAAAATCGATCAGAACCAACTAATTATGAGGAACCAAGCACTGCATACATAAAAACTAAATTAAGAAATAAAGCTTCTCCAGTTTATAAGAAAACTAAGGTTATTAAAAATAAAGGTATTTTATTAAAAACTAACAAAGGGACTTATCACAAAAGTATAATTAAAAAACCTAAAGGTTCAAAAACTAATTCAAATTTATTGTTGCAGAAACAAGACGAAAATGGGGACAAAAATAATGATAATCTGCCTAGTACTTCTAGTAATAGAACAAATTAATGCACAAGAAGATATACAAATAACTCCACTTGAAAATTTATTATTACCTATAAAATTAGGAACATCAAAAGTAATTTATAGTAAACATACATTTTTACATTATATAGATATAAATTCTATAATTGAACCAGTTCAGCAATTAACTAAAAATTTTGAAATACTTAAAAATCTTATTATTCATGTAGATAATATAACCAATCAAATATCATATCATAGTCTTGCTCAAAATAATTTATTACGAACTGAAATATTAATAAATACTGTTCAGAAAAAATTAGGAAATATTCATCCTTATATTAGAAATAAAAGAGGCTTAATCAATGGTCTTGGAAAATTCAGTAAATGGTTATTTGGAAATTTAGACTCAGATGATGAAGAAAGATATAATAAAGCTATAGATCATTTACAACAAAATCAGAAAAATCTCATTGCAGAAACAAATTTACAAATGTCACTTTATAAAAAATTAATTGATCACTATAATCGGACAATAACAATTTTATTTAAAAATCAACAAGCATTTACTGATACTCTTAAAAAACTCCAATATTCAATAGCAAAGAAAATACAAACTTTAGAAACTTTCGTAAACTTTCAAGGAGCACTATCTCAAATAATTTAGATTGTCAAACTATAATAACTTTACTTGATAATTTATTCAATAATTTCTATTGAAGAAATTTTAGATTTATTACAATATTTATCGAAATTATATAAAGAAAATGAAATTCTCAAATTTCAAAATATTCTTTCATATTATCAAATTCTAGGTACACAAGTAACATTTACTAAAACAAAACTAATATTTGCTATTCATATTCCTATTTTGAAACCTGTTTCCTATGAATTTTATCACCTTTATCCTATTATCCAAAATGATAAAATGTTTATCCCCAATTACCCTTATTTGGCACGGAAGAAAACCGAAGTTCAATTCGAAAAAGATGAATGTCCAACAGTAGAAAAAGTATACTATTGTCAAGAAAATTATATTACTAAAGATGATTGCACCCTTCAACTATTAGATGGAAATAATCCAAATAATTGCCAATTTTTAGATGTAAGCATTAAAGAATCAATCAGTCAACAAATCACAAGAGACGAAGTCCTATTTATGCCCTCAAAGCCTGAAAAAATACTTTCAACGTGCGAATCCAATCAATATTTAAAAATTGAAAAACCAGTTTTAATTAAAATTACAAAAATGTGTAATATAGAAATTAATGAAGAAAATTACATTAACGACGTCCAAATCCAAGAAGGAACGCCTCTGATATGAAGACACCATTTCAATTTCAAAAAGCTAATATAACTAAAGTCAATTTTGAAAATTTATACGAAATAAGTAAAATTGCTAAAAGTTTAAAACCAGTAGAAGAAGTAATAGACAATCCATAAAACTAAATCAATATCAATTATCATAATTATAATCTTATGCCTTATCATTTATTTATTATGGAAAAGAAGAAAAGAATTACTACAATTGAAGATATGTCCTCATCGAAAAGAAGAAAGAAAATCTAGAAATAAAGAAAATGAAGAAATAGAATTAGAAGTAAGAAGAAAAGAAGATAATCCAGAAACTTCGAAGAATCAGTCCCTGATCTTCTCAGCTTAGGAAGGGAGGAGTTATATGTATAGAATTAGCATAGTAAATATTTTTTATCTCTAGCTTAGTCAGCATTTAAAAAGTTATAAATATATGTTAACTTGTTTATTTTAATAATTCTTCAGATATTCTTCATACTTGATTGTTGTAGTTTGGAATTAAAAAGTTTTTTTTAAAAAACGGTTTTTCCTTTAAAAAACCATAATTCGAGTCATGTTTTTGTACAACTTTTTGTTTGTCAAATAAGTGTCTATTAGAAATTCTAGGTTAAGATTGATATTATGAAAAAATGTTTCCAGAGGGACACAGATTCTTCCCCGTAAGTATTTTTCTTTCATAAAAAATCAACTTTAACTGCCTTTATAGAACTCAAATATTTTTGGTCTTTATTCGTCACAAATAAATTTTTAAAAATCTGTTTCACAGTGGTGCCCATCCCTAAAACCAGACTGATTTATGAATATTTCTTAATACTGAAATCAGGTAATTGTCGAATTGAGAATTTTTCGAGACAATGTAGAGTATTGATGGGCTTGTTACCTTCAAAGTAACTTTCTACTTTTGGTTCAGGTGGACCTACCCGTCTGCGATTTAAATACATTTGGAAATCCTGATTTATTGAAATATGCAGGTGTTGATATGTAACATTGGAAGGGCAATATTTTAAAGAATATTTTTATAGTTTATACGAGGGTAATCCCAAAAGTAAAATCTTTTTTTAGAAATATAAAAATCCGTTAATTTATTATAATATTTACATAATTTTAAAGATTCACATCTGTCTATTTTAACATAATCGCCACTTCAGACGATGCATTTTTGTAGACGCTGTGACAGTTTTTTTCCATATTATACCAACTCGCCGCCATGTCCTTGAAAAAGGGTTAAACCTCTTTGTCGGAGCTGAATCGCCTTTTGTCCAAATGTCCTTTTAATTTATCCTCGCAGTTTAAAATTAGTTTCTTTCTTAAAGTGTTTATTTTTTACTTATTACATGCTTTAGAAATTAATTTAAAACTATTATCAAATTGCTATAAGCCATAAACAAAAAAACTTTGTCCCATAAGTACAAATGTAAACAAATATGTGGATAATCTTCCAGATTTAGATAGAATTCATAAAAATAACATGACAAGTTCCTATACATTTTTTCCTACGACCCCCCTTGGTGCCATAATTAAGATTCCTGAAAATATATATTTTTTTTTAATAATTTTCAAAGCCCTTGGTATAATTTAATTTTTAAATACGATGGATATTAAATAGGTCTCCGTAAACTGGACTATTTTAAACACATTTGGCAGAGATAAGGGAGATAAAGATAGGAAACGCCCATAAGAAGCCAATGCTTAACAACGACCAGCTTTATCGCAGTTAATATCTGACCCACTATGTGGCGCTTTCATCGATATCAAACAATGGAACGGGAAATTTAAAAACCTGATAATAAAGGTTGTATAAATATTGAGTGCACTCTTATGCTCTTGTAAATAAACTTAAAAAATATAATTACGCTAAATTATTTATTAAAAAGAATGCTATACTTACAGTCTATTATCGATCATGGAGGAAGGATAATTAAGAGTTGCCGTTTCTTTGAAGAAATATGGCAACAGGTTTGTTTGCAGCGTCACCGGTAAGGGATTTGTCCAACTATTTCTCAGTCGGTAATATAGATACCTGCATATTTTATTTTATTTAAAAATTAGCGGGATTTTTTTTGTAGCTCTACTTTAATTAGTATAACTAAAATTTTGCATTTTTATTGGCATTTTTTACAACACAGACAAGGTGCAAGATGTAACAAAATGCCAATCAAAATGTAAAATTTTATGACCCATAATTTTAGGAAGGGTAAAATAATTTAATATAAAATAATTGTATTATCTATTATATCATTAAAACTAATTTATAATAAATTTTCTAAATAAACAATATTTTAATAAAACAACTAAAACTTTCTGTAAACTTGGGTAGGTAACAAAACACATTAAGGAGAACCATCCATATAATCTGAAACAGAAAAAATTCAAAGTAGTATTTTAACTTCATATCATATTGAATCTCTTTTTTCTTTTAGACATTGTCACAGTTTTATACTTTCATTATAATATTTTATAATTAATAATGGTAGTCCCTTCATCTTTTAATTAGATGTAGTGCTTTTAAAAAAACAGATGTCTGCGGGATCAAGCTTTGAGGTCCTTCTTTGATTCGCAAATTTTGCTTTGCTGTTTTCTAATTATAAAATAGAGTTTTTTCTCCCTTGGAGCTAACCATTCACTGGATTGATTTAAAAATCCAATAGCTAATTATTGTTTTTTAGGTAATAATTATATTTCATTGGATGAAATTTTAATCGAATGTAACTTTCTTTTCACTGGTAATTTGTTTGACGGTATGATAACAATATTACTTTAGTATTACTCTTTACTGTTAATTTAGCTTTCAAGGGTACCAAAGGTAAAGCCAATTTACAGTCTTGTAACCTATAAATGGTTTTTCGCAAGTGGAATGATGAAGTTTATGCGGCATCATTTAGTTCCTTGCTTAATATCAGAAGGAAATAAAAAAAATGTGTTCTTAAAATGTACAGCATAAATTGGACAGTAAATTGTACTATTTACCTTTATACAAATAACGCTATTACAATTAGATATTACGAATTTATTACGAACAGGACCTGCTAAACATATGTTAAAACATCAAAATATATTTGCTTAATTTTAAATTTAACATGTTTAACTAAAACTAAAATTAAATAAAAGTAAAAGTACTTACCACGTTTTATTCAGCAACCATAACCATATTGTTTTGCAGTTTTGTTATTGTATCGGTTCGAACGGGTGACAATCCCAAAGTCAGATTTACATTGTACAAATAATTGATTAATTCATGTTTTTCAAATAATTGTAGTATTTATATAAATATATAATTTTAAAACAATACTTACCGTGTATTACTTTTGTTATTAAGCGAAATATATTTGAATTATTCAATTATTCAGTGTACTTTAAATTTAAATATCATTTTATTATTGTAAAACGGACTGATATGCGCGGATGTGTTGCGCACTAACCTGTTGATATAACGCGCATATGTTATAAGCCCCCCTGTTATCGATTAATTATTGTAAATTTATATTCATGACAATTATTTTTAAATTTTTGATTATTTGTAACATTGCATTTTTGTTTTTATTAACCGACTTCAAAAAAGGAGGAGGTTCTTAATTCGTCGCGATATTTTTTTTATGTATGTTCAGCGATAATTCTTTAACACGGTGTTCGATTTCAATGATTCTTTTTTTGGTAGAAAGTGGGTACTTCAGAGATGGTCCCATATAAATTTGGTCAAAATCTAATAAAGTCCATGAGAAAATCCTCAAACTCTTCATTTTTTATGTATGTTTAGCGATAATACTTTACCACCTTGTCCGCTTTATATGATTTTTTTTGTTAGTAAGGGGGTACCTCAGGGTTGGTCCCATATAAATTTGGTTAAGCTATGGTGATAGCATCTGCACGTTTTTGAAGTCGGTTTTTTTTAATTTTTAATTTCTAATACTTGTTTTCCAAATGAATAGCCAATATTTAAATATTTAAAAATGTTGAGTGCAAATTCAATAATGGGAATTCAGATATTTTTCTTCCTATATCAAATCTTCTTTCTAACGTTTTGAAGCCATTTTCTTGTTCTAAAACAATAAATAATACATAAATAGGTACCTACTTTGTGACAAAAGTTGATAACTATTTGTGTTACTTACATGAATAGCTCTTACCTACTTTGGTTAATTAAAGAACGCCACATTCACGATACACAGACTAACGGTATGTTCCTGCTATGAAGACTAGAGATAGAGGCGAATCGGCCTTGGTCAAATTTCAAATTTCCGTCCCTATTTTTATGGAGTTCCAAAAAACTACTGTAGTTGGCGGGTGGCAAAATAACGACGTCTATTTTCTATGCAAGTTAATGGGAATTAAAGTAGTTTTTGTAAAATTTAGTGAAAAGAATAAAAATAGGCTGAAATAAAGAACCTAACTACAAGTAACAATGAGTAACAAAAAACGGCAAAGCAGGATTTGCTTCGTTGCGGGTTGAAAAAAAGGGATATAAATCCGATATAAAATTAAAGAAAACACAAGGAGATAAAAATTCAAGTCTTTTTAAAGGTCCTAGTTTAAGTAAAACAATGTATTTATTTTTAAATAATATATACTTATTTTAAAATAGTCACAACCCGTATCTTACGGAGTTTAGTTTATTTAATTATAAAATTCTATAATAAAAAATAAAAAGTCATAAATCCTCACTTACAAACAACAATAATTACAAATTAAATTTAACTTACTAGAAAAGAAAATTTATTTTTTATATTTTTTGATGTTAGATGAAGAGTTACTACTGGTATTTTTCTTTATTGAACTCCAATTTAGTCATTGCAAATATTTTTTATAGGATCCTAAACGTTTAGAACAATGGCAGCATGTGATTCCTAGGGCTGATAAAGTACTGTCTAGTTATGATTCTGTTTGCGATCTACACTTTTTAGAAGATGATATTTTAAAATTTGATGAGACTATGTTAACTAATGGTACTGTTAACAAAATAAAAAGGGAAAGGCCGAGATTAAAGAACGAAGCAATACCATGTATATTCCCGAATCTCCCTTCATACTTGTCCAGTATTAGGAAAAGACGAAATCACTATTGAACCGAACTGAATTTGTTAGAATAAAAAAAAGGAAGAAAATACTAGAACCTATTGCTGAAGAAACTATTCACCAGGATAATGAAATTGTAGCTGTCGAATACAAAATTACCACAAAACTGTTCTTACCAAATTTCACCATTTAACAAACCATTTCAAATTTGGTCATACCTAATTGTCATTTTATTTAGATAAGTTTAAATAATGAATAGTAAATAATGTTTAACATAAAGACCCATTTATAATTAATACCAACAGTATTTTCTGTACTTTAGTTAGCAATAAACAATTTGATTTTTATTATTTTCATAAAATTTTATAAAATTCCTGACTAAATATTTTCATTTAAACCGTGTCTTAGCTTATTTAGCTTTAATTAAAAAATAATTAGCCCTACCCATCAAATTTCAACACTTATCATCAATAATTTGCATTTTACTTAAATAGGAATAAATAGTAAATAATATATCAATTAAAATATGTAAGTCTTATTTAGAAATAAATACAACAGTATGTTCTGTGCTTTATTTAGTTTAATTTTAATATTTTGATAAAATTATGTATAATTCCCATAAAAAGCCATTTTATTTTGAACTACGTAAA